AAAGTTCAGGAATTGAGTTACAACAAAATTAAGACTATAATGAATGAGTTACAACAAATTAAAGTTTAGAGATTGAGTTACAATTAGGTTAAAACTATGGGGACAAAATAATTAATTTTTCCTTGATTCAATTATACTGGAATGCCTAAACTTTAATTTGATATAATTCAATCTTTGAATTTTAATTTAGTATAATTTAGTCCCTATATCTTTAGTTATTTAAAACATTAGTCCCTGAGCTTTAATAATAACTTTATTCTTTATAATTTTATTTTGCAGGTCCTAACCTTTTAGATAAATAAAAGGAAAATTACTCTGAGGTTTTCACTCAACACAAATAATTACTCCCAATTCATTGACAAGTGAGCTTACAAGAATAAAAATTACTCTAATGTGTTGTCATTCTCTTAAAGCCAGTTATCAATGGACCTTAGAGTAATTAATTGTGTTGAATGAGACTTGTATATAATTTACCCTAGATAAAACTATAAAGAATAAGGTGCAAGTGTCAAAGTTTAGAAACTAAGTTTTAACTTAGTTAAAATTATATGAATTGAGTTATATCGAGTCAAAATTCTAGAATTAGATTTTAACTGAATCAAGACTATATGAATTGAGTTCTATCGAGGCAAAGTTTAGAAACTAAATTTTAACTAAATCAAGACTATATAAATTGAGTTATACTAAGTCGGTAGGGATTGGATTTTAACATGACTAATGACCAACATAAAAAACTAGAAAAATTGGTCATTTAATTTTTATACTTTTGATTCAGTTAAAATTCATCTCTTAAACTTTAATTTAATACCATTCAGTGTCAATAGATTTTGAAAAACTTATATTATTACCCTATAATATAAGTGTAACAATATTACCCAATAATGTTCCTATATGCTTCATCATATTAGATTTAGGAGGAAAACTTTCCACAAAAAATAAAGAATATTAAAAAGGAATAAAGAAAGAAAGAAAGCAAGCAAGAAAGAAAGTTTAAGGAATCAGTAGCAACAAAGGTAAACTTAAGAGTTCCCTAACAGCTCTAATTAATTGGTCATCACTATTTGATGGAACCATAATCCTTTGTTGTCCAAAAAGAGTGGAAGAACCAATTATCAAAGACTTGTCAAATGTACTTGATTGTCTATGCTCTTTTGTCAAATCAAATTTAGTGCATAAGTTAATATTAATCAACTCATCAATTCAATAAATTTAAACAACTTTGTTTACTTATCCACCACGACAACAATTAATATTGGCTTCCATTTTGGTGCTCATGAATTCTCTTATTTAAATATAGCCCATTTTTGTATTTGGTATGGTTAAAAGTGAATTTTGATGGAAGGCAATTCCTCAACATATATAATATGAAAACACTAGCTTTTATATATATATATATATATATATTATATTAACAAAATGTATTATTTATATTATAATTAATAATTAATTACAAATAGTGTATGAGACTAAGTGGAATTGAATTCCTTTTCATGTAAGAGAGCATTTAGTAGGAGAGTAATGGAGAGAGATGCATGGCTCAAGTGAAAGAGACATTAGTCATCTAAAAGGGAAGGTGAATTGGGTATTTTATTTTATTTTTTACACTTTGAAAGCAACTTAAATGCTGACAGCATGGTGGATGATTAAAAAGAAACATATTATAGAAGAAATTAAAGCTGAAGAACCAAATGAAGCTGAGAAAGTATGGAAACATAGCAAAATAGTTTACTTTTACCAAATCCCTTGGCCTATGTTGGGTTCTTAAAATTGTTCTTAAATACTTTACTATATCTTCAAACAATATTATAAATAGGCTCTGGTGCATTGATGTTATCAGATTAAGTTCTAAAGGCTGTGAACCTTTACAACCTTTTTAGGATATAATAGAAGATGTTCGGTTTTTGTTTCACAAGGATTGGAGCATACTCATTCATTATGTTAGTAAATGCTCTAATACCTATACTAATCATCTTGCTAAGCTGTCTCATAAGTTAGAAGTTAGTTTTTTGTATCTTTGATTATCCCCCACCTTTGTCACAAGAGGCAGTGGATGATGAGAATGTTCCAATAGGTTATATATCCTTGATATAATCTTGTTTTAATTTTGAATGCATTTCTTTAGTCAATAAATAAATAAATAGGTTCTTGTTAACAATATAGTACAAACCATAATGTACAAACGATATTTAACGCAATCCAGTTGAGACACAAACTAAGTACTCATTTGGTTTCTTGAATCAGAGGGAATGTAATGGAATGTAATGATAGAGAATGAAATGTAATGTAATCACAATAACATGGGTTTGTTTGGTATGTCATTAAGGAATTGTAAAAATAAATTTATTTTTTTATATTTGATAAAATATAAAAAAGTGAAAAAAATGGCCTCAAAATAAAAAATTCATTGCTTCCTCCCTCATTTATCATCCTTTGTTAGCAACCATGTTCACTGTTGTCCTTAGTCCCTCCTCCTCCATCTTCCTCACACGAGCAACATCTACAACATTTTTGACCTCACATCCTACCGTTATCAGGTTCTTCCAAAGAAGAAGGGAAAGAAAGAAATAGATATGAAACAAGCGAGCACTATGTGAAAGACAAAGAGAAGATGAAGGGGCAAGAGAGGACGTTGACTTAAGGGCATAAATGATTGGAGAAGACATGATTGATTGAAAACAAAACCCTCAACCCTCATCCTTTCCTAGCATATATGAACAAGATTGCAAACGATGAGAGCATCTGCAACAAGATCACAATATCATGGAAGGCATATGAGATTTATAGGTAACAACAGTGGTTGAAGAGGGAGATGGTAGCAACAGCGACAAGGAAGGGTGCCATTAGCAAGGCACATTGAAGGTGGAGGAGGAGAGGATGCCTACGAGAAAAGGCTGATGTGAGTAGAGGGCAAATATGTCAAGAAGTAGATTTAGGGCAATAGTAATCCCCATTACACATGTTTTTGAGTGTAATGAGGATGCAAGAGTTTGATGTAATATGGATTACAAAGGTAATGGGGATTTAGGGATGAAAAGGCAACCAACAACATGAATGATTAAAATGAATCAAGATTACAAGGAATCCTCATTTAGGGAATCCAACCGAACAGGTGATAACCAAGTATATGATCCCTAGTGTTGTTGGAATGCCAAAAAAAAATGAGGAGGAAAAAATATTGGGAAAATGACAATTAAGTTCTAAGGAGATTAATTAATTCACGTTAAGTCCTAATCAATTTTAAAATGCCAACAAAGTCTCTTGGTCCTTCAATGGTAATAAGTTTAACAAGGATTTGCAAAGATTTATAAGTTCGGCTCTCAATTTTACAATTTTATTATGATGTATTTGTAATTTATTTTTCAAATTTTAACGAAGAATATAAATGCTCATCTTTAATGTTGAGAAGTATAAAGTTTAATAGTTTTATGAATTTACAAGCTCGACTCCTTATTTTCCAACTTTGTTTTTATTTACAGCTTATTTTTCTCATTTTAACAAAATACAAAAATGTTTATTTTTAATATTGAAAAGTATTAAGTCCAACAGCTCTAGAGATTTGCAAGTTAGGTTTTCAAATTTACAATTTCGTTGTAATAAATTTATAACTTATTTTCTATATATATTTTAATAGGGAATACAAATGTTTATATTTAATGTTAATTATTCTTTGCCTAATGCCTATTTATCAATAAAATAAATAAATCATCCATTTTTTTATTGTCTATTGTTTATTCTTTAACTCTGTTAAAATTTAAAAAATAAGTTATAAATAAATTACAACAAAGTTATAAAATTGAGAACTTGCAGATTTATTGAGATGTTGGACTTATTTTCACTAAATGATCAAAGGATTTTGTTGATATCTAAAATTAGTTGGGACTTAACTATTATTTCCTAAAAATGTTTATTTGTTAAACATAATGAGGAGTAAAAGAATACCTGAGTCAATGAAAATAATATACAGACAATCAATATTCCTTTTTGGGTCACTCAACTTCCACGTAAACTTGAATTCCATGGCTGCAAAGAAAGGAGAAAAAGGAGATGAGAGAGACCATGCATGGACTAAGATAACAACTACCCTAGCTGTGAAAACACCAAGATTTTGTACATCTATACTGAAATTTTGAATTTTGAATTTGAAATTGCAAGTTTAGAAGAGAGAAGAAAAATAGAGAAGAACTTGCATGGAGTCTAGAAGAAGCCAACACTACTCATTTTTAGCTACACTATTGATCCACACTGGGTGCAGGGAAAAAAATGGCCCTGTTCATTGGCTATGGACGACGAAATTTTGTAATTTTAGATTGATATTAATATTGTTAATTGATTGATAATTTTATTATTATATAAGTATTAACATCAATTTTTAATTAATATACAATATTTTTATACATATTCCCCCTTGTCCATGCTGCAAGGTATGTTCTTTAAGAATTTTTTTGTCTTTAGTATAAGATACTTAATAATATATTAATTACTTTTTTTTTTCTAATATTACCTATATTTAAACTCATTAATTATGAGAGAGAATGTAATATAAATTTAAATTTTTTATTTAAATAAAGGAAAAATTGGAAGGTTATTACATTATTTTGAAAAAAATTAATAACTTAACCACCTCTCATCAATTTTGGTCACATAATTAAAAGTGTTTTATAATAAAGATACGTGGAGTATATTATTAAAATATATGGTATACATCATCATCATCATCATCATTCTGAATTTTCAAGTTAACTAATAATAATTAAAGTTAAGTTTTTTAATGTTAGAATGTTTAGTACATTATTTTTAAATATTTAAAGAGAAAATTACAAAATTTAGAACACCGAATATTCAAGTGACTAGTTAGAAGGTAAAAATGCGTTGATTATTATTTATTATTTATTATATTTTGTTACACCCTTGCCCCTTCTTCGTTACACCCAGTTCACTCGACGGGCCCACTCGTATATAGAGAGAAACAATCACTTCTTTTTGACCGCCAAACCCCTCTATGTTCCTTCTTCCCCAAATTTGAACCAATTCGTCTCTCTCTCTTCTCACGGCGACTGTAGGTCTGATGATAAAGTAACACTAAAACTTCCTAAAGAAAGGCAAGCAGGCTCCTCTGTAACTTCGAATCCAAAGGAGAAGCAGAACAGATAAACAAAGTGGGGAAAAAAAAACTGCGAGAAACGAAACCGACTAGACATGTTCTCATTATTTAACAAGGGAAAAGACAATTTCGCCGATGCTTCATCAACATTCCCGGCGGCGACGTCCTCGTCGTCACCATCTGTGCCCCCAGTGACTGGCCCGGCGAGGCCAATACGGTTGGTCTATTGTGACGAGAAGGGAAAGTTTCGGATGGATCCGGAAGCCGTCGCAACTCTTCAGCTTGTGAAAGAGCCTATTGGCGTGGTGTCTGTTTGCGGACGGGCTCGCCAAGGCAAAAGCTTTATCTTAAATCAGGTAATTTTTCGGCCCACGAAATGGAATTTTAGCGAGGGTTTTAATTTTTTTGGTGGAAGTGGAAGTTTAGGGTTCATTTTTGCAGGCGCGGTTTGATTAGGGTTTTGAAGGGTTTTTTCATTGAGTTGAAGGATTGAATATTGGATATCTGGAGATTGCTGTTGTGTTTCTGCTTGAGATCACTTTTACTTGACTAAATTGTTGTTGAATGGTTCGGAAACCATTCTTGCCTAACTAATACCACACTAGACATTATATTTGAGATTTGGGGCTAGTAGGAATTTTTTCTTATTTATGTGCGACAATTACCTTGAGAAGTGTGAATAAATAGTTTATCTCTGACTATTAGATGCAGAATTTTGGGGCTCATCTGTAGCATGTAATGGTTTGAAAGAGAAAGGCACTCTTGGAACCTTTTTTTGTGCCATCTAACTCTACTTGACTGGATATGTTTTAAAAGACAGTGAATTAAAATGTAACTGAAGAGAAGTGAATATGATAGGTTGAGAGCATATGCTGTAGCTAGTAAGGTAGATAGGTCATATGTTTTAAGTGTTGGTAAATTTGTGATTTGAAGTTTTGTCTGGTGTAGGTGTTCTTCTTCATAATTCATGTACAATTTCTTAGCTTATTTATTAAAGACATCTTTTGTGCGCAAGAAATTTTATGTCAGGGGTGGTGGGAATGCCAAATTGTGTTTTTTGCTTGTAGCTAAAATTTAAAATCCTGATGGACCTGATCAAGTAGTTTCTCCAGGAGAATGGTTGATTGTTTTGATGGCGTAGGTGTAAGGGACTGCAATATTACTCTCTTTGGGATTCTGTAGTGTAAGATGTAAAGAAGGGTGCACCCGCATGCAAATGCACACACACACGCAAATGCACACATCCTTGTATAGTTTGTGAATATGAAACATAGTAGTCATATACTCATATTTGAGTGTTTTCTCTCTGGAGAAAAAGTATTCTGGATCTAGAAGAGGAGAGGAACAAGCTTGATTGGGAAGGAAGCCTCAAACTGAAAACTCACTCGTTGAAACTCCTTGGTTCATGCTGATGGCTTATTATTAGATTAAATCCCATATTTAAGTTTTTCTATGCTTTAGGTGTAGACATGCAGTCTTTGGAAGACTATATGGATACTTTTAACAATGAAATGGTTCTGTTAGATCAATTTATGTTTCTTTTCCTTGGTAACTTGGTTCATAGGGAAAAGTAATCAGAAAAAAAGTATACATAGCAAAGTATTATTGATTTATCGACTTATACACTATCTAATAAAGAATTTGATTGTCATTAACTTGGTTGCTTCAATAGCTTGTAAATTTCCTTTTATAATTTCATTGTAGACGATTTTTAGGATTTTATTTTGCCTTTACATTCTTTTTTGAAGGTTATTCCCCATATATTTAAGTTAGATGAATCACTATCATTCATGGCTAAAGAAATCTCTTGGTAGCAATTCATAGCACCCAGTTTTTCGTGATTTGATGGAAAACATTTTTGATTCATGGGCGAATTGTTTCATGGCTGGAATTGGTAGAACAGTAACTTTAATTGTGTAAGTTGTGCTAGGAATTGCAAATTGTGCGTATCAATGATTCAAAACAACCATTTTTCTGTTGGTTTGCATGGTTTGTAAATGATTTGATGGACCTGAATTCCAAATATCATTTTCAGCCCTCTTCTGTTGGGTAGCCATGAAGGAAAATTTTCCATCTAGAAAGTGATTGGTTTCACTTCTTTGGCTAACCATCTCTAGTATCTGGCCATATTTTATGCATGTGGTTCCTAGAGTTGCTAATTTGGAGTTTGGATTCATTCTGCCTTCAACTTAAAGTGTACCAGGTGACGGATAAAAATTTTGGTGATAGTGATGACATTTCTCTTAGTTAATTGGGGAATAATTAGTTTTGGACTTGGTTAATGTTGAATAATGAGTTTTTGTTGTTGTTATTATTGTTTTATAATAGATTATTTAAGATTTTGTGGAGCTTATGTTTAGTCTTTTTTTCCTCATTTGGTTTCAATCTCAGTTCCTCTCTGATATTTGTAAGTAGGCCTTATCTAATGGGCAATCAGATGCTATTGAATTTCATTTGTAGTTTTCATGACTCTTCATCTACTAATTAGTAAGTCATGCTTAGGAAGGGTCTTTGACGCCTCATCTTAGCACCTTAGGTGGTGAGGTGGGTGTCTTTGACTGCACCGGTCTTGACATAAGAAAATGAGGCCATGTTATTGTATTTGAACTTCATGCCTTGCATATTTATATTTGCAGCTTTTAGGGAAGAGTAGTGGATTCCAAGTAGCATCAACACATCGGCCATGTACCAAAGGTCTCTGGTTATGGAGTGCACCTTTGAAGAGAACTGCACTTGATGGAACAGAGTACAACCTCCTGCTATTAGACAGTGAAGGAATAGATGCCTATGATCAAACGGTCAGATTTTTAGTGTTCCAAGTGATAGATATGTGCTTTTTTGCACTGTTGTATACTCCCTCCGTTTTTTATTGTTAGAGAAACTATCATTTTTACTTGTATTTTTTTATAAGCAAAATCACCCATTTCAATAAGCATTTATTGCACATTTCCTAAATCACCCTTCATAATTTACATTAACGAGAAATTATTAATGTATGCTTATGTTGATCAACACATATCATTTTAGTCCAATTTTTTTATTTTCAAACATCATTATAGTTGACTGACTTTTTTAAACTGTGTGATACAGTTTTTTTCCTCTTATATATAGAAACGGAGGGAGTATCATTTTGGTTTTTTAATTTGATACAGTCTAAAATTTGATGCTCGCTGTTGTGGTAATACTGTTATATTTGGTTTCTTGTTTACAAAGTGTCATCTCTTTCTAATTATTCTTATTTGACTTGTGCAAACTTTTTGCCCCTTTGGTATTATACAGGGAACATACAGCACCCAGATATTTTCATTAGCTGTGCTTTTGTCTAGCATGTTCATTTATAACCAGGTTTGAACCAGTTTTGATACTAGATGTTCAGTTTCTTGGTCTATTGCTTGATGTAGGATTTTGCTCCCATTTCTGTTCACTTCTATATTTCATGCTGAAATGTTTCTGTTGCTCAGATGGGTGGTATTGATGAAGCTGCCCTGGATCGTCTTTCTCTTGTCACTCAAATGACAAAGCACATTCGTGTTAGAGCATCTGGAGGAAGGACTTCTGCATCTGAACTTGGGCAGTTTTCCCCAATTTTTGTTTGGCTCCTTAGGGTGAGATTCTTGAAGTCTTTTTTGTTAGTGTTTGCTGTCAGATAAGCTGAAAATATGAAGTTTTGAAGTTTGATGGTATTGGTTTTGTAGAATAGTTTAACTATTTTATTTCTTTTTGTGCTTTCTTGCTTGCAGGATTTCTATTTGGACTTAAGTGAAGATAACAGAAAAATAACTCCTCGTGACTATCTGGAACTTGCTTTGAGGCCTGTCCAAGGGAGTGGAAAAGATATAGCTTCTAAAAATGAGGTATTTTTCAGCTTTTTTCCTAGTTTTCTGGTTGCATGAAGCTATATCACAAATATTTCTGGGTTCAAGTGTTGAACAAGATATTGAGCTGGATATATAACTTTAGAATCTCTATCTCTCTCTGGATGGAGGGAGTTAAGATGGATTCTGACCCATTGTGGGGCACCAGCTGGAAGCTTGCTTTTTCTTGGGTTGATATTGACATCTAATAAATTAGCGCTGCTTAGCCAGATTGTTGGCCCTTGATGTAGTCTTTTTTCTTTTAAATATTCTGTTTCTGTTTCTGTTTCTGTTTTTTTTTTCTTTAATTTTTTTTTTTTGGACAAGTTGTGGTACTCTTAGTAGAGGCACATCTGGTCCAGATGGACATGACCCTGCCCTGTCTAGTCACCTTTATTATGGTGCCATGATGTGGTGTCAAATTCTTTATCTTTCCCCCCTTATAATCGCTTTGACATTTAGATGATATTTTTTTTAACTGAACTAATGCATCATGGAGGAGGAAAATAGTCTGAATTTTATTTGTATTTTTTTTTGTGAATTGTGTGTCATTATAGGGATTTCACGATTTTTTGTTTTACTAAGGAGTTTAATTTAGGTTTGACCATTTGAGTCTTGGTATATATTATTAGCTAAGTGTTTATAGTGATTGTTTTCTAAAGCTCTTAAAGAATGTTGGGAAGTGTGCTTTGTTTTATTTATTATTGCTAATTATCTGTTAATATCAATCACAAGATTCGGGATTCTATTCGCGCTTTATTCCCAGAAAGGGAATGCTTCACCCTGGTGCGACCATTGAATAATGAAAGTGATTTGCAGCGACTTGATCAAATATCGGTTAGTAACCTGCCAGTTTTTTTGCAAGTTATTTTTTTTCCTTTGGTTTTATAATATAATGCCTAATTATATGCTAAAATTTTATCTTCAATATGCAGTTGAACAAATTAAGGCCTGAATTCCGATCTGGTCTTGATGCATTGATGAAATTTGTTTTTGAAAAAACAAGGGCAAAACAAGTTGGGGCAACCATGATGACAGGTCCTGTGCTGGTTGGCATTACTCAATCTTATCTGGATGCTATAAATCAGGGTGCTGTGCCTACTATTTCTTCCTCTTGGCAGGTTAGAAGTATACTTCTAGATAAAATTGTTAATTTACATGTCTTCTCATTTCAATTAAGCTTTTGCTTTCATTTTGAGTACTGTGCATTAGTAATTTATTTCTCATCCTTTCAAACGTACAAAACTTGGTGGAGGTTCACATGAATTTTTAGTGGTGAAATATTTACTACAATCATTTTTGTTTCATACCAAGTATAATCAATCTATCAATGGAATGAGAAACTTAACATTATCCTGGTTATATGACCCTATATAAACATGGCTTAGTGTTACATAGTGTTGAAACATTTATTAGATTTGACATTCTTTGTCGTTTTTGTCTGCTAGTCATTAATTGCTGGTTTATGCAGAGTGTTGAAGAAGCTGAGTGTCATAGGGCATATGATTCTGCTACTGAAATTTATATGTCTTCTTTTGATCGTTCAAAGCCACCTGAGGAAGTGAGTAATCCATATTCATGAATGTGGATTGTTTGTATCCTTTCCTTTTCTAATTATAATGACTGCAGGTTGCTTTGAGAGAAGCACATGAAGAAGCAGTTCAGAAGTCAATGGATGCCTTTAATGAGAGTGCTGTAGGGATTGGTTCTGCAAGGAAGAAGTACGAGGGTCTTCTGCATAAATTCTTTAAAAAAGCTTACGAGGTATTGGATATTTAAAATTAGCTGTTTGTGGCTCATTATTGGCTCAATGGTTATTTTAAACCTTATACTAAGGGGTTTCTTCTAGTCTGCAACCAGAATGTTAATTATTGCATGCACATATTGTATCTGTCTCATATTTGAATAGTTGCTATTTCAAAACATCTAGTGGCTGAGTTTCTGTTTATGCACAATTTGAATATCAAACATATTACAGTATTTTTCTAAAATTTCTAGAGGGCTGATATGGTCTCATGTTCCAAGTGGGATTTTCCTGATTACATAGTGAATCTATTTTTCTTTCAGCTATGTACAATGTTCTGCTTTTAGTTTACTCACTCTGGCCCTCAAGTTTTTGGTAGTTTCAGGTTTATATTTTTTCGTTTTACCTACTGGTTCAATATGTTCTATTCGGTTATGTTTATGTTCAGTATTCTTTTTGGTTTTAACTGTGTATTTATCGACAAGAGTAAAGTAGCGCCCATTTATGGTAAGGATCTTTTTGGTGACTTTCTTTTAACTTTGTATTATTAACCAGCACAATTTAGAACTCATGTTATGGTGTATATTGTAGAACTGATCAATTGCCTTTTAACCAGGATTATAAAAGGAATGCATTCATGGAGGCTGATATTCGATGCTCAAATGCCATACAGAGTATGGAAAAGAGGCTCAGGGCAGCTTGTCATGCTTCAGAGGCAAGCATAGATAATGTTGTGAAGGTAATTGTTGAGATTAAAAACGTTCTTTTAAAAATCAAACTGTTCATTGAACTGGACAAGCCAGTGGTTCAAGGGATAATGGTTGGATCAATTATAATTAATTTAATATATTTTTGATGCTATATGTTAAATATGACTTTAGAGGTAATATTTTATAAAATATTAATTTACAAAAATATTATCAGTATAGAAAAATTGGAAGGCAAGGTGAGAGCTTGCCTTTTCTTCGATTTAGCAAAAATATTATTATAATTTGAGAAAATTAATAAATCTATTACAGTTTAAACAATAAAAAGAAAATAATTTTTAGATGTAATATTTATATAATTATTTTAAGATTTATAATTTTATACTATAGATGCATATTTCTTGCACATCCTCCACTGGTTTCTTTTTCATTGCTCAAAATGTATATTTATGCATAAGTATAGCTTATAAACATGATTTAAACTGGTTCAACATAAAAAGTTTAAAGTCTGACTGGTTCAAACCGGTTCTCATTTCATTGATATTCTGCCCGGTTCAACTGGTTCAGGACTTTTTTGAACTGGTTCCTGGTTTTAACCCCATTATTGGACTGATCACTAGGTCGGTTCCTGGTTCAACTTGTTGAATTGGCTGTGGTATGGTCTGGTTTTTTAAATATTGATTGAAAGAGAACTTATTCATGCATATTTTATGGTCCTCCCTTTTGCATCAAAAGGCTGCCTTGTTGAACAAACAGCTGCATTTGATATTGAATGTGGGATGCAGGTTCTTGATGCTCTTCTTTCTGAATATGAAACATCAGTGCAAGGTCCAGGGAAGTGGCAAAAACTTGCTGTCTTTTTACAACAAAGGTTTGTGGAGCTATTTTTTATGCCATGTTTTATTTCATCCGACTCTTTCTAATTTACATGTTGTTGACACCAGTTTTGAGGGCCCGATTCTGGACCTTGTCAAGAAACTGATTGATAAAGTTGGATCAGAGATGAGTACTCTTCAGACAAGATACAGGATGATTGAAGATAACATGGCCTTGCTCAAGAAGCGGTTGGAAGCCTGTGAGAGTCAAAAGTCCGAATACATCAATCGCTATGAAGATGCCATCAATGATAAGAAGAAGCTTTCTGATGAATATATGAATCGCATTACTGATCTGCAGGCAAATCGTCGCTCATTAGAAGAGAGATATTCTAGCTTATCAAAAACCTTGGACTCTACCAAGCAAGAAGCCATGGATTGGAAAAGGAATATGAACAAGCCATGTCAAGGCAGAAAGCTGAGGTAGATCAAGCTAGTTCTGAAGTAGCAGCCCTCAAATCCCAAAGCAAAGCTGCGCAGGCAAGGTTGGAAGCAGCAAGGGAACAAGCACAGTCTGCCCAAGAGGAGGCTGAGGAGTGGAAACGGAAGTATGATATTGCTGTTAGAGAAGCAAAAGCTGCTTTGGCGAAGGCAGCAACTGTTCAGGAACGCACAAACAAGCAAACACAGTTGAGGGAAGATGCTCTAAGAGAAGAATTCGCCAGCATTTTGGCTGAAAAAGTGAGCTCTCCTCTTTTATTCCTTTACATTTCTTTTGCAAACATTTATTTGCCTTGTATTGCTGGCATATGGAGATTGCTACGTTAAAGTTAGGATCCCTGGTTTCTGCTTATCAGTTGTCCATATTCTGCATGCAATGCCAAATGCTGTTTCCAATATATGATTTGTTCTGCCTTCACTGACTATGCAGGAGGAAGAAATAAAGGAGAAGCGTGCCAAAATTGAGTATGCTGAGCAGTGTTTGGCAACTTTGAAGGTAGATCTGAAGGTGAGATTCTAAGATTAAGTTGTTCAAAGAAAATCTGTCGATTTCTTCTTGCACTTAGTTTCTTGAGTATGCCAGAGCATTCTTAAGTATGCCAGAGCACTAGGGGGGTTCTCTGTAACTTTAAGTTTTATGTTTCCTGAGGTGATATGAACAAAGATAACAGGGAGATAAGGCATGAAAACATGTACAAGTTGTCAATGGTGATGTACATAATGACCTCTGAACTTTATTAAGACTGCTCAAATTACTTGTACTATGGTTGCATTACTTTCTTAAACTATAAGACTTCCTTAGATCATTAATATCTCGCTCTGGGTTGCACTAGAAGTAATTTTTACTGGCGTATATGAATCCTTAGTTATCCTACTCAGCTTGAAGCTCACTGATGTTCTAACTTATTACAAATGAAAACAAATGAAACCCAAAAAGTTCAGTAATTTGCTTTGTTGGGCCATTGTTCAATTACCTTGGGGACTGGTTTGGGTATTAAGAGTTTGAATTCTTTTAGTGTACTTTATCAAGGCTTTAACCGGAAATTATAGGTGCTTTCTTTAAATGAAACAGGCATTGTTTTGGTGCTTCAAGCCTTTGCATAGAGATTTCTAATATGATTTGTTCAGATGGGCCATCTTTGTGCCTTTGGAGATTGAATTGCGTATCTGGCTGGCTGTTTGTGCAGGCTGCTGAGTCAAAGATAAGGAGTTATGATGCTGAAATATCATCAGTGAGGTCTGAATTAAAAGAATTGACTGAGAAGCTGGAAACCGCAAATTCTAGGGCCCAAAGATATGAGAAGGATGCAATGGTATTTCAGCAGGAGAGGATTCATCTGGAGCAAAAGTACGAATCTGAGTTTGCAAGATTTGCAGAGGTCCAAGAAAGGTGTAGAAATGCTGAAAAAGAAGCTGCAAGGGCTGTTGAAGTGGCCGACAAAGCACGGGCTGAAGCAGGAATGGCTCAGAAAGAGAAAAGTGAGATGCAGAGGCTGGCTATGGAGAGACTGTCGCAAATTGAGAGGGCTGAAAGGAAGATTGAAAATTTAGGAAGGCAGAAGGAAGTTTTGGAAGCTGAGTTGCAGAGAATAAGGGAGTCGGAGAAGGATGCACTTTCTAGAGTCGCAGAGCTAGAAGAAAGGGTGGAACAAAGAGAGAAGCAAATAGATTCACTTTTGGATTCAAACGATGCAGAGAGGAAGAGTAATGTTCAGATTCTTCAAAATCTTCTGGAAACTGAGCGCACAGCACATGCGGAAGCAAGTAACAGGGCAGAGGGGCTCTCTCTCCAGCTACAGTCTGCACAAGCAAAGATTGATTCTCTCCATCAAGAGTTGACCAAGTATAGACTCAACGAAACGGCATTAGACAGTAAGCTCAAAACTACTTCCCATGGTAAGCGCTTGCGTGCGGATGGTGAAATTGGTGTAGAATCTGTTCAAGACATGGATGTGAGCCCAAGAATTATGAGGGGAAGTAAGAGATCGAAGAGCACTTCCAGCCCTATCAGGTACACACATCCAGAAGATGGTGGTTCCGTCTTTGAGGGCGATGACAACAATCACAGTCAGCAAACAAATGAAGATGATTACAAGAAATTCACAGTCCTGAAGCTTAAGCAAGAGTTGACAAAGCTCAACTATGGTGATCAATTACTTCAGTTGAAGAATCCCACCAAGAAAGATATTCTTGCCCTTTATGAGAAATGTGTTCTTCAAAAGTCGTAGTAGCATTTGTGAAGGCCTTGTACAACTGAAGATTTCTAACCCCAAGAAACAAGTCTTAACATTTAGGTCTTGTGTAGGGTTGTGATGCATATAACCATCTCCGGTAGCTGACATTGGTATAGGCCTATATAAATTTCTTTCGATGGTATAGTTGAGATTTAGGACTAGGAATGCTGTGTCAATATAGTTATGTTTGAGTGCTCATCCATTCTGGGTTTGTTAAATTGGGTTTGCTTCCATTGAATCGTACTATTGGCCATGGAAAATTTTTTTTAATGGTCTGATGTTTTCATCTTGTGGAGTGCTTAGTGCTTAAGTAGGCTGTATTTACGTGAAGTGTGTATTGTATATTTGTAGTGGTTTGGAGATAAGGTGTTAAATACTCGTTATGACTGTCAATTGTGCCCCCAACCAGAAGCCTGTTTACTGATTCTTTTGTGTAACCTGTATGACTGTACATCTTTATATTACTGCAACTGCTGTATATCAGTTGTGATGATGTTAGAAAAAACTGCTGTTTTTTTTTTCTTTATTATTTTTTGATTTAAATTTAACTAAATGATATCCAGTGTTATAGAATCAGAGTTGATCTTCCCCTATGACAAGTTGCGTGCTTTTGATCTTGTTTAACTGGAAGTGTTTTTATGCTGGATCCAAATTTGTTGGTTCATTATGTTTGATTTTAGGTTAAAGTGTGTTTTTAGCTATATAATTTTACAAAAAAATTTAGTTTAGTCTTTTAATGTTATAAATGTCTTTTTAATCTTCATTTTAATATAGTTTTAAATGATTATTTTTTGTGTCGATTATTGTTATTTTAAAAAATTAAATGTAATATGTTAAAATTTGAGAATGTTAATATTAAAATGTTTAATGTAAGAATTTTGTGGATGAGACTATGATGTTAGTGATTATATAAAATTAAAACACAAACAAAACTGTGTAGAGTTAAAGATTAAAAGTGAATTTTAGCCTTGATTTTATTTTGATTGAGATTGGAACATTGATTTTAATTACTTGAGTGAAACATTAATAATGAATTGCCACATTAATCTGGGGGGGGGGGGGTGTCAAGTTAGATGGAAGGAATTCTTATGAGTTCGGTACACTGTCATTCATGTTTTATTATAGATATTTTATTATAAAAATAAAGTTATAAAAAATAATTATACATAAGATTTTATTTAATTGAATTGGTATAATTTTATTAAATAAAACATGAATGACATGATCTATCAGGTTCAAGTAGGAATTTTTTGTTAGATGGAACTCGCTGCATAATCATAACGTATTTTCTCTGGCAAAAATATAAAAGGTGACATTTTTTTCAGTAGGAAAAATCCAATTGGTGAATATTTTGCTAGAAAGTTCAAGATTCGAATGTTATATTTGAATTTTGAGTGCAGGTTTTTTATTTTTCCCTTTTTTATTTTTTATGATTCTAATTTATTGGTTTGGGCAGTTTCAGAATGAAATTTCTAATTATTTTAAGGAGGTGTGTACTCTCATGATCAACACGTTATATGCACGCTGCATCTAATAACAAATAAAACTAATCTTATCTTTACATTTTTTCCACCATCAAAACTGTAACACTAGACAAGCTAGACACATTATTCATGAGAGAGACCCAAGATTAGAGAAGGTGAATTGAGGAAGGAGTCAATAAATTAAAATGAAGAATTTTTTTAAAAAATAAAAATATTTTTCCTTTAGATATTTTTTGAAATCTATGAATTATCCTTACATAAATAGAATTTTCCCCAAAACTGTTTCATATTGTATAAATATTTAATTTTAAATAAAAAAAGGCAAGAGACCTGTGAAATAAAATTTCAAAGGTTGGATGACACTAAATTTAAAATGAAATTAGCGTATATTTATTTTCATATTATCTTTTTATGAAGATTATAAATAGAATTCATTTTTCCACTAACAAAATAATTGATAATTTCATAGCAAATAACCATGCCATTTTTTTTTTGTGAGAACCATTTATTGTTACCAACTAATATATGAACTTAGTTGAAGCTCAAACAAGGGGTTCAAATTTTATCACAGTAGCATTTTTCCCTTCAATTTACAGGAGTCAAACTTGAAACCTTGCTTGAAAGGTATCAAGTGTATATTTAGATTAGCGTTCGTAAAACTGAAATTTTTACAAACCAGATTTGCAAGCTGAAGTTTGAATAAAAATTAGTTACTATAATGATATTTATAATTTAAGGTTGTGTTTGGATGGGTGAATTTGGGTTGAGAATTTAAATTTGAAATCTCTTATTTGAAATTCATAGATTCTAAATTCTTTGTTGGGATATATAAAAAATTTCAAATTATAATATTAAAATATTTTGTTTGATTCTAAAGTAAAATTTCAAATATCAAATTCTATGCTTGAATTTAAAAGAAATTCAGACAACGTTGGTGGTCTAGTCATAGTCAAAGTCGGTGGTTTGATCTTGATCAAGGGTGGTGGCTTGGTCTTGGTCAACTTGAGTGTTTGAACCTAGATGATAATGATCCAATCTCCATCAACAGTGGCAGTATGGTCCCAGTCAACATTTGCGTTCTGGTTTTGGTCTTGATCAAAGTCAACGGTCTGGTCTTGATCAATGGTGGCAACTTGGTCTTGATCAATGCTAGTGATCCGATCCCAAAAGCAACAGTGGACCAATCTCGATCAAAGGTGTTGGTCAATCCTAGTCTGCACCGGTGGCCCCATCCTAGTCAATGTCGGTGGTTCGGTTCTGGTTAGTGGTTGCGGTTTGGTTGCTATTGGTGTTGACAATCAAGTCCTAATCATTAGCAGCAGTCTAGTCTTAATAGGCGTCGATGGTTTGGTCTCGAAAAAAAAGATGGGACAGGTCTTGGCCACCATTGCTGGTCGGTCATGTTGGTAGAGGTCCATTCATGTTTCGCATCAACAGTTCAATCCTGGTCAATAGTAGTAGGTTGCTCTTGGATGGCAACAGACATGCCTTAGGGCCTTAAACAACGCCAACAATTTAGCCCAGGATGATGACGATAGTTTGATTGTTGCGGATTGGTCTTGGGTGATAACACCTGACTATTCTCAGTTAACAACAACCTTTAAGGTTGGATGACAAAGGTGAACAGATTGCAGATGGTGATCGTAGGCTAGTCCCAAATAATGGCAGACCAATATCAATTGGAAGAGGTGAATTGACATCGAACAATGATAGCGGAGTGATATCTGATGACAGCAGTGGACTGGTATCGAATGACGGTGGCAATGATGATGGAGGACTGGCACTGGTTGGTGGTGATGGAAGGTGATTGAAAGTGAATTGAAATTTTAAATTCATAGTGTGTAGAAGGAATTTGAACATGCAAAGGAATTATATTTAAATATGGATTTGGTTAGTTTGACCAAATCCAAATCCATAAATTTTCATGGATCCAAACAATGGATTTAGCTTAAATCAAAATCCATATACATTCTAATATAACATAAAAGTAAGTTTAGGTATATGATGACTGAAAAATATATGAATTTTAATGTATACCACTTCGATCCTCTTTTTTTTTTTTTGAATAAAAGGCCACGGGAAAACCATGCTATGTGATATGATGTGTCATATCAGCGTACAAGAAATTTATCCAATCAAGAGGCGGAGTATCAAAAATATGAACTCTAGAGCTTTCGACAGGAGCTTGGTGAGCCAAACAATCCACGCATTTATTTGCTTATCTAAAAACGTGATCAAAAGTGACCATCTAGTCTCTTATAATAAGATATCTGATTTTATTGATGGTTGCAGTAAGGGGATAATTTGTAAAGAACTCATTACGTATTAACTCTGATTCATTTTTAAATGTAGAAAAACTATTCTATGTTTCTTTGTTTTTTATTATAAACAAAACTGCAAATTTCAATAAGCACTAATTATATTTTTTTTCTCAAAATGTCCTTCATAAATGGATAGCATCACTAAATTAGAGGAAAAAACAAACATTTATTATAAGGGCATTTTAGTTCAAACATTTTAATTTCAAACATAATTATTATGCTCAACTAATTTTTTAAAATTGTGTGAATTGATTAAAATTGTCTCATATTAAAAAACGGAGGAAGGGTGTGTGTGTGTAAATAATTTAATCTCTTTAATAAATAAAATGTACTTTAACTCAATTTATCTGAACCTCCAAAGCTTAAAAAAGAAGCTTCAACACAAAATCTTAGTTGCAATGTTTTAAAAGCCAGACCGAATGTTGAATTGAAAAAGTTGGCTATTCTCAATTTTTATGATCTAGCCAGTTAAATTATTGATTAGACTGGTGATGTAATAATTAAATATAAATAATGTTAAATGTATATAAAATAAATATAAGAAAAAATCTATGGTATGTTAATAAAATGACATAAAATGATCATAATTTAATAATATTATAAATTATAATTTTATAAATTTTCAAATATGGATGGATCTTAGTTAAATTATATATGAGTAGAGTAAAAAATATTTACATTTGCACCTATAATTGTAAACATTTTTATAATAAAAAGTCTCAAATCATATTTTATATATGTGATTGTCCAAAAATAAAATTAGCTTTTAGTATGATCTAATTTTTTGAATTTTTCTGTTTTTTTTATTTTTAACCTTTTTTTAATATTATGTTTAAAATCGATTGGTTCTCTGAAAACTACTCCAATTCTCGGTTTAACTTTGATTTCCAGCTTAATTGCAACTCAATTTTAATCCAATCCAGCTCAATCATGAAAAATAAATTTTTGATCTAGACTAAGCTGCTAATGGCTCTAGTCAACCGTCTAACTAGTTCAACTATCCATTTTTTAAAACAATGCTTAGTTGAAAGGAATAAAAGCTGTTGTAATTCAATGTTCATCGGAATGAAATAAAACTTTGTCCAACTAACTTTTGGCTTCAAAACTGGACATCCAAACGAGCGTCGATTCTCTTTTATTTGACTCAACCGTGATAACCATATATCATTGTTTTTAATTAAAAGGAAAACACGTTTGTAAAAAAAAAAAAAAAACAAAATGAGTATGAATGGACTAGCCATGCAAGCAGAGGATAAAACCATACTTTCATAGTAACATATATATCTAGGGAGAATGACAATTAAGGACCTGCTAAGAACATTAATCTCAATTACGGACCGTGAAATTTTAAAATCCCAGTTAAGACCATGGTCCTTAATTGTGATAAAAAAAATATAATTTGTGAGGTGGGATTTACTAACGCGACTTGAGAATTCACTAATCCAACTTGAGAAAATTACTAACGTATATTGTGAAAACATGAAATCCTACTTGGAGATGGAATGTTTAACAAAAAATACCACTTGAGAATTCACTAACTAGATTTGAAAAAATTTCTAACATATATTGTGAAAAAATGAAACCCCACTTGAGAATCATTAATAAAAAGTGACTTGTCCAAATTGGTGTTTTTTATTAAACAATCGATTTTCAAGTGGAGTTTCATGTTTTCATAATATACGTTAGAAATTTTTTCAAGTCGAGTTAGTAAATTCTCAAGTGACGCTTTTTGTTAAACATTCCATTTTCTAGTGGGATTTTATATTTTCACAATATACGTCACAAATTTTATCAAGTTGAGTTAGTGAATTCTCAAATGGTAATAATGAATTCCACCTCACAAATTACATTTTTTTTATCACAATTAAGGAACATGGTCCTTAATTGAGATTTCAAAATTTTACGGTCTGTAATTGGAATTAATATTCTTAGCAGGTCCTTAATTGTCATTCTCTCATATATCTATGTTAAGCACTAATCATTTTATGAATAATATAACTGTTCACATTATTTCCATCCTTATTATTATTGTCAGGATGTCAAGTGAGTTAGTTTGATGTGGTATTAAAAAAAAAAGTATCACATTGAATATAGTTGAGTTGGAAAAGATGTATATAAGTGAAAAAACCTTTAAATTCTATGTTAAGATTTTGAATTAAGACATGATGTCATATTCATTTGTATGTGTTTATCGTAACCATTGGGTGACTAAATTGTATTCTATCCTCTTCAAAGATGCTTCCCGTCCCAACAATTATGTCCCTCAACCTCAATATTCAGGGTCAATTACAAGTAGTCTAGCTAGCACATACACAAATATATAATCTAATCCACCTTATGTTGAGCTCCTTTCTAATCTCAACCAACCAATCAAATAAATAAATACATTTATTTATTCATAATATAATAACAACAGATCAACTCTTGCATACACTCACTGTACATACACTAAACCGATCAGATACATATATCAGCACATGAAATATATATGGCCATAATTAAATGTATATGCATATATTGTATGTTAATGCTGTACTATCAAGAAACCTTTAGGTCCCGAACTAAAGCGTAGAGAGAGACAGATACGTGATAGTCATAAGCCTCCTTTTTACGAGATCCACATGTTGGAAGTAGAGCCCACTATTATGTATCTATCTCTCTCTTTACTTGGAAAACTTTAGAATCCACACGTACACTTCAGGGGATCGATCCATGCATCAAGAAGCTCGATCGTTGTATGTCTGATGATCAACGATCGAGGAGGACTACATTTTTCTGTCAAGTCTTGCTTTGTTTGGATGATCCATTGCTAAACGGATAAAGGAAGAAGCATGGTCACCTTGAAGAACCAAGTTTGGAATAAGTTGAGGGGAGCTTTCTGAGTTATTACTATTATGACCCACAGGGTCATAACTTATGTAAGGGGCATTACTGTAATAGTCCACAAAAGCTGCTGCTGCTTCTTTACCTATAATATTTGCTGTACTGTCATGAAGAATCATATTATTGTTGTTATCATCATTGTTGTTGTTTAGTAATCCTTTTTGGTCATATGGATCCTTAGTAAGAATGGAACCACATTGTCTGGGTTGTGTCTGGAAGAAAACCTTGGAGACAACTAACTCTCCATCTTTCTCTTCCTCGTTGGATCCAAGGTGGTACTGATGCATAACCCAGTTGGTCTTCTCTGGTTTCTTCTGTCTGCCATAGTTGGTGTAGAGGACGAGGATCTTCTTGAAACCTTTGACAGAACCATTCCATAGGACTGGTCTTGTTTTGCCTGTTTTGTGCCATCTTGTCTCGCTTCCATCTTCGTCTGTGTGGACCTTTCTTCGCTTTCTTGTTCCTGTTGTGTATGCTTTTGATGGCCTGTGAAAGAAATGCCGGATCTGTCCATCTTTGCTTACACCTACATCAGACAAAACATGTTTTGTATATATCTGTGTATATATACCCTGATCAATAATTTTCCGGAAATGATATATACATATATATATGGCATATTGGTAACTATTTCATGGTTCTAAAAAAAAATTAGGCGAAATCCTAATCTCTCAAAATTTTTTAAATATTTTCAATCATACTCTCGTTAAATATTATATATAAATGTCTTAAAATAATGACTAAAATTTTAATATATCATTTTTTTTCCAAAAAAATAATAAATAAAGTAGAGATATATATAGTTGGAAAAAGACAATATAGTTTGGAAGGAGTGTATAATTAATATCTGATTGAAGGGGAAGAAATTGAAGACCGAATTGGAAAAGTTTTCTTAAACTAGTTAAAAACATTTTTTTATATAATAAAAATTAATTAAGTGACAAATCAAATAATCATAAAAAATTCTAAAGAACATTATATTGTACTGAACGGCAGACAAAAGACATAGGATGGGGTAGCTAAAGAATCACACCAAGCACAAATTCTGAGCAATTTTAAACACTTAATTTTGTAAAAGTCAAACTTCACCAAATATATAGAACCTTCTTTAAGAGTAAAATGGCAGCAACATGCCAAGTTTATGTTCCTTGAGAGGTTTGAAAGTTAGTTGGCTACCGTATTTAGAACATGTAGACTTTTAGCCATATAATAAGAAAAAAATGAATAAAGAAGTTACAATTAATTAAAAATTTTCCATAAAAAAGTTGTTGAAGAGTAAAAAATATGAACATTAATTTAGATCTATAGAAAAACATTTAATTTTAACATTGAGTCTTTGAATAAATTAAAAAAAACAATTTCATATCTCTATAAGATATATATATATATATATATATAGTTAATGTAAGATAAGAGGCTAATTTTAGGTTTGGTAGGCATTCCATTTCAAGTGATTTCTTATACCACAATTAAATGAGTTTGTTAAAAGGGGTCACATTAGCAATCCAATGTGCATGCTTTTAACGTTTCTTTCAATATAGCATCTCATTCTCACGCTCCTTAAACACTACCAAAAGTTTCTCTCCTACGATATAAATACATGAAAAGGCCAAAGTGAAAGAGATAATATTACAGTGAATGCTATTAATAAATTAAATTAAAATCTTCCTAATTTTTGTGTACAATGCAGCTTACATAATCTCACTAATGATATGGGATCAAACGGCTTTTGATTTCAAGACCTTATTATTGAATATCTGTAAACTCAATTTAAGTCGTGATCTGCTTTCTTATTGTAAAGAACTTTGAAAACTCAACTTACCTAAGTTTTTTTTTTTTCTGAAAAAATATTTCTAATCTAATCTAATCTATTATTCTAAATTAACATAGATGTGTTTTATATAACATTTAATGTCTTGGTAATCATTCTCCATAGCTTTTATTCCTCATAGAGGAAAATCATTTTCATCAATAAAAACTGAACTTTATGCAGCAAATTTCCTGCATAATGGCACATCAACCTGATGTGAAATAAGATTTTCATATTTCCTTACAACAATTGGCATTAATTTCCTATTTTTTACCAAAGAAAGAAAAGAAGACAAAAAAAAAAATTAATTCGACAGTTTTTTCAAATATGAATGTTGATTTCTAAGGTTGATGTTTTTTTCCTCACATATTTAAAACATATTTCCAAAATTAAAAAAAAAGAATCTTGAATCTTGAATCATGATATATATATATATATATATCCTTGCTTGAGAATCAAGATTAATATTTTAAGTAAAACCTGGAATTTCATCTTTTATTCTTTCAAGCATAATTGTGTGCTTTCCTTTTCTCTTACTTTCTGATCCCCTCACAATTAATACGTAATTAATCAAATTATTATTAATGTTTTTCTTGATATCTCTTAGATGTTTTTCTTGTGTGTTTGCTAATAACAAAGAATCTAAATTATAAGACCCTGTGCTTTAAATGTCAACCAAGATAGGTATACATATACCTCAAGCACAAATTGAAACAAAATGATTAAGCACCACCAATAATAAATCCAAAACATGAGTCATCAGAAAAACATAGTACAACATAATTAACACCAACAACAACAATAACACACATACATGTACTCCCTGGCTTTTTATTACAAGAGAAACTGCTATATTTTTCATTATTTTCTCAAATTAATCCTCATAAAAACACAGTTTATTTTCTCAAGACAAACTTATTTCATCAATCACAAGGACATTTCAGTCCAAATTTTTTCATTTCAGACATAAAATTATTAAGATTAACAAACTTTTTTTTTAAACTGTATGAGTTAGTTAAATTTTGCTTATATTTAACATCGGAGGGAATACGTACCAGGAAGCTTTTCTGGGTGAGTATAACAGATTCCATTCTCGCCTTCAAGCGTTGGAATGAACTCATCTATGAGAGGATGAATCTTACGCACATCAGACAGAGCCTTTGCCTCTAAATGCTCCAATATTTCCTGATCATTTGGATCAAACTTCACTCCTGCTGGTAGCCCTGGAAGCTCATGAATCCCACCCTACACACACACACACATGAATTTCTCACCAAAAATCCAGAGTCAAACTAAAACAGAAACATGTATGTCGGCTTCTCAGAAAAACCCACATACCTGGTCTTGGAGCTGAATGTTATGACCACATGAAGGGCAAGTAATGGTTCGAATTTCGGAGGCTCTCTTTGTTGTGAGGGTTTGATCATGTACGACAGAAGCTTGAGGAGGAGTAACAATGGAGGCCGAATTAACCATCTGAATCGCCTTATTGCTGCTGTTATTATTATTATTATTATGCTCCTCTTCGTCTGATGACTCGTTGCACCACGTCATCTTCTCCTTCTGTGAGAATGAATCACTTGATGAATAGCTTTGACTATCTATCTATCTTATCACCCTCATACATACGCCCCGACGAAGCTAAGCACAGAGTAGTGAATTGGGACAAATAAATCAAAACCAGAACACAGAAGAGAGAGAGGAATAAAGAAAAGGTAAAGATATGGGATAGCTTGTCTCTTTTGGAACACGTTTTCCCCGAAGTACGTGATCAGAATCAGATCACCTTCTTCTTGATGCTTTTATGATCTGGTGATGAAGAAACGTAACGGCGTGTTGTGTGCGTGAATGATCCTAAGATGAAGATTGAATGAACGGTTTTGGTTCGTGGCGTTATGAACTGTTGGCACCTCACGCACAGAGAGAGAGAGAGAGAGAGAGAGAGAGAGAAGGCAAAGGGTGTAAGCGATAAAAGAAGTGTGAGAAGCAAGAGAGATATAGAAATAGGGGGTGGGCCGGGTTGCTTGGACGTCAAGTTTTGAAAGGGAAATGATCCTGTATATACGCGTGTATCACGCAATACATGCACTTGCCCTTGAAGCTTTCGCAAGGTGCATGGTGACAGCTTAGTTCATGCTTTATATCGTATTTGTAGGGCCTGCTCAAAGCTTTTTGTCTGAACATTAGTTTGACGAATTAAAAAAAAAAAAGAAAGAAAAACAAAAACAAAACAAAAACAAAACACTTGAATTTTACAGTCAATAAATTTTGGTATCTATTATTCTAATTACTTTTCTAACATCTTCGTCTCTCCCCCAAATATAAGGAGTTTTTTTTATTGTCCCAAAATATAAAAATAATTTGATAAAAGTAATATTTCATTAATGATTTTTTTTTAAAATTATCCTTAAAGTGGAGAGAGAATTAAAATGATTGTAAATTTAAAGTTTTAATTTAATTGAAAGGTGTTTTTGAAGGTTTGTTGAAAAAGTTTTTAAAGTGTAATTGTTGAGCTTTATTGATATATTTAATATTGTCTCTGTCTTATTCCCTTTGGTTTTAGATACAAGCATTTTCCATCAGCTAATCTTTCACAACTTAGTACATATGATTTTTTTTTATTTTACCCCTTACATTTATTAACCTAGATTCATGTGCAAAGTTACCTTTCACTCATTATAAAGTGCATAGGAAAAACAATATATATATTTTTAAAATGAGAATAAGGACTTTCTTAATATGTGAATTTTCTTAAAATCTGCTTATATTTTGAAATGGGAAAAGTATAATTTGGGATGGAGGGAGTATCAGGCCAAATACTACTCCTTTTGATCTTATTTATAAAGTGTTTAAGATATTTTCAGGTGTTTTAAGAAAATTTATTGTTAATTAAAGATGATAAGTGGCCTTATTATTTGTGCAAATACATTATAAATTTACAGGGTAAAACTGAAAGATTTTTTTTTTTCATTTTTTTGACGTTTTATTGTTACAATCACATTTTGTTTTAAATGTTACCAAACAAGCCTTTAAATGTTGGTTCAATTAAATATAAAATTAAATATAGTATCTAAAAATGAAATAATATTGACCTTTTTTTATATAAATTTATCATGTTCTAATTATACTCATTTCATGAAAAATGAATTAAATCTGATTGATTATAAAGTAAATCATACTGTAATAAATTATTTAATGAGATAATATTATATATTCCCAAATTCATATATCATCATAAAAAATCAAATTATAATTATATAATTAAATTGAATAATGTAATGTTTTACATTACATTTTCATATATGAATTCACTATTAGATGTTGAAGATTGTTGAACAAGGTAGACGTCATCTTCCATTAGCTTTAACTGAAACTTAACACTTCTTGTCTCAAGGATTTCAGGCGGGTGTGTGTCATGCTATAATGTAAAGTTCATGCATTATTTCATAATTAAACTAAACTAACCCTATACGCAAAACTTACCATTTGTCAAGAAAACTAAATTCAAGGAGAAAGACAATAAAGTCCTGAAAGATCAAATTAATGACAGTCAAATCTTCCATAAAATTTTCTGAAAAACGAGTTACAATAGTAATTTAAATAGTAGCAAACAATAATCCCAGTCGTAAACTAAGAATTACATTTATAATTGAAATATTTTATTTGTAATTAAAATTCCTGAATTCATAATTTTTTGAAGTGATATTTGCAATTTGTCTTTTAAAAAAATTTATCTGACTAAGGACCTAACTTTCATTAATTTATTCTCTTGAAACTTAAATGTCATTCTCTCTAAATTTAATTATAATGACTTTAAGCAAGCCAATGCATTGAATTGAAAAGCATGATTACGTTAAAGTAATATACATATGCACCACGTATAATTACGAATGATAATGGCGGTTAAGTCGGGTGAAAGAGATTTAATATCAGGTGAATAAGTTCTCGAATTCAATTTCATTAGGAAAGAAATATGTCAAAAAGCTGGGAAGATCAGCTTAAGGCAAAACACACCTTGAGGTTGGACGATCAATTATGTAAAAATAAGAGCGTTTGGGTAATTCGTTTTAGTACAAATAATCAATTCTAATAGCATATCCAAACAGGTACAAATATGCGTGGGGAGAGTTTTCTTCATCATTACAAACTCAAATAAAATCCGAATAATTAGTCAGTAATATCCGACAGACTAAACCCCGTCGCAAGGGCGTCCCAAAATCAATCCCAACTATTTGCGACTGATTGACTTATTTTGGGACAGAAATATTGCTTCTCAAATATTTGTGATCAAATTTGGAATGAAACATTACGTCTTAAATATTTGTGAAAGAATTTGGGATATAATATTGTGTCACAAATATTTGCAAGGAAATTTGGGGTTGAAATATTGTGGAATGGCAAAAGGTTAATAAGTAAAATTAAAGAGAAGAAAAAGGGTAGTGTTGAGAAGAATGGAGCGTAAGAGTGGAGATGGGGCAATCACCAGATTCCGCAGAGGACGTTTCACCTCTTCAAAGAGACAGTGTTGGGAAATTTAGATCATGTGTCCAATTTGAGTGCCCTTAACGCTATATCCACACACACACATATTCCTATTTATTTTTACAGACATATACGTACCAACTAACCAAACATTATAATATCCTTCTCCAATACATTCATTATCATATTCTTTTCATACATACATACATGCCAACATGCATATACAGGAACCTTGTTGCTCGAGCTAGTAATGTGGCTGAGCCAAGCTTATTTAGGTTAGGCCTAAAGCATCATGCCTTTTAAAAAATTTATATAGTTAAGCCTGACTTTAACTTTTTTTAATTTGATTTGGGCTGGCTCATTGAGCTTGACCAAAATAACCTACTATAGAGAGAGAGAGAGAGAAAGCCGGTAATTCTAATGATCAAATTTATTTGGATTAGGTTCAATTTAAACTGAACTTATTCGAATCGAGTTTGAAGTATGGTATTCTTTTAAAAAAACCTATATAATCAAGTCCGATCTTAACTTTTTTTTAGGTTGGCCTAAATTACTAACTCTACTCATTGCTACATGCATTGCACTGTGTATTCTTTATTCTTCAAGCACACTTAGCTTCTTCATTTCGGCAATAAATCTATCCTTTAGAGTTTGACTAAATATTAGATTGGAGTAGATGTCACATTGTCTGCTCATAGGTTCAAAGAAATTGTATTCTAATAATGCCGTGGATTTATTATCAAATGGAATATGTAAAAAAAAATGGAGTCTTTTTGAATATTTGGCCCTGCACATATGCATTCAAGTAGGTCAAAATGATCTTTTAATTAGTTTTGAATTTGATAACATAATTTTTTTCTTGAAATACTTTTCACTTTTTATTTCGTTCATGGCTTAATTTAATTTGAGTCCCATATTTTTTTGTCATAGTAAATTTTATTCTTGTAACTTTTATTTTTTTTTCCTAATTCGGTTGGCTGATCTTCCTCTTTGTTTTCATTTCTCAATTTTTTTTGGTAATTTTCTATAATCTAATTAGTAATTTCATTTTTTATGGACTAGTGATTTTATTTTAGTTTCTGATGGGAAGTAATTTTTATTTTAAGTTACCATCTAGCATGGGTCTCATTAATGGCAAAGAGCATAAAAATATGCAATAAACAATAACATTCTTACAAATTTTACCCACTGTGACTTACAGTTTAAAGCAAAAAAAACAAACCTAAATTAGTATGAAATAATGAGATTATCATTTACAGTAAAAATAAGTGAAAATTTTAAACTAAACAAATTTTTAGAAAAAGGATAATTAAAAATTACAAAAAAAATAGAACTACTCCCTCTAATCTTATTTATAATGTAGAGAGTGAATGATTTTTTTTCAGTCCAATTTATAAAAATATCATGACCTTTTGCCCTACAATTTTTTTCTTGTACTCCATTAAATGTTATTAAGTTTGAGAGAAATTATGTTATTAAAGTATTCTCTCCAAAACAACAATATAAGTCATTTTATAAAATGCTAGTTTTATTTAAAATATAGGGTATTGTGTATGTGTTTTTTTTAATTACACTTTTATTTTATTAAGTAATTATTAGTGTGTTTTAAATAAGTTAAATGTTACATTTGTTACACCCAAAAGACATGATTGGAAAGATATTAAAATTTTTAGAAAATCAAGATTTTAATATATACTTGTACACATTGAATCCATATTTAATACTTGTAGAGAATCTATTGCAACATTAAATAATGGATTATGATATACTTCTTCAACGTGTTTTGATTTAGCTTAGAGCGCAAGAATGTTGCAGTCAGCGTCGTCTTCAAACGAACGAGAGGTTCTTCTAATATACGACACTTACACGAAAACGCAACGCCGTCTTTTTCCTATTATTTTATTCGTTAAGCGACGGGTCAGGGTGGTCTGGCGATTTGGTCAATTCGCATTGACAATCTATGACGTGGAAATTTATTAGTGGTTGGAGGGTCGAGGGAAAAAGTAGTGAAATGATGACGAGCACAGGTGAGCAAATCCCATCATTAAGTGAATGTTTGAAGGTGCCAGCCGACACGTCTCGGTGAGCTTCTCAAAGAAGCCACGCAAACGAGAAGCAGCTTAACCAGGAAGCTTCTTAGTTTTTGTTTGGCTTTTGTATTTAGGAAAAATACAATTAAGGACCATAAAATTTTAAAATTTTAATTAAAGACCCCATTTCTTAATTGAAATAAAAAAAATATAGTTTGTCTTAAATGCTCCTAAGATTCACTAACGTGATATGAGATTCACTAACATCACTTAGATATTCGTTAACGTATATTGTGAAAGTGTAAAACTTTACTTGAGAATTGATTATTTAATAAAAGACGCTATTTAAAAATTCACTAATCTAATTTAAAAAAAATTTTAACGTATATTATGAAAATATTAAAATTTCACTTAAAAATTAATTGTTTAATAAAAAGTAT